TACCTTTCCTATACACGTTCATTGGTTTTAATAATTTGAATTTATTTTATCTAAAAGTTTCTATTTGTTCTTCAACATCTTTTAAAGTTTATAGCCACTGTCTGTTTCCAATTTTTTTCTCCATTTTAAGAAGAATTATAGCCGTTGAAGGGTCCCACCTAGCTGCAAATTTTGACTTGCATCTCACATGTTTTTTTGGAAAATTGTGCTCAACGGTTGAAAAATCCATTTTCACTGTGGAAAATCTGCTCCAAACAGGGGGTTATTATCTTCACTCACTAAAATGAAACATTATTTTGAAATGGATCAAGTTGAAATATGGTTTGAAAGTTTAATTACGCCACAGTCCTTTTTTTGAACTTAATAAAATAATTTTACACTTAACCCATATTTGGTACACATTAAATTTTTCATTTTCATTCTTCTACTTATTTTCAACCACACATTTTTCAATAAAATAATATTTTCCATCACATCAATAACTTTTCCTTCTTTTTCAGCCACAAATTCTCCATTAATCTACTATTCCAGAATATATTCTTCCAAAATAATGCGGTACAAACACCCCTTTAAACCTAATTTTTTTCTACTTTTCAACCACACATTCTCCAAAAAAATCACTATTTCAAAATCTTTTTTTACCAAATAATGGGACTCAAAAAAGAGCTAAAATTCAAATATACCTCTCTTTCATTCTTAATCAGATTTACCCTATTTGTATTGGGAGCCGCTATTTTCATCCACGATATTTATATAGATATCCATTTAAAAAAAAAAAAATTCCAAAAAAAAAAAAAATGGAAATCCATTAAATCAAAATTATTTTTTTCTCAAACTCATTTTCAACCACACATTTACATAATAAAATAATTACATGTATACTCAAAAAGTTTTCGTATTTTCTAATTATATATTCTCCAAAAATTCACTATTCTAAAACTCATTTTTAATGAATGTCAAACAAGAACTTGATATATATATTTTTGTTTCAATTTGACAATCATGGTAAAAAGTACATAATAAGTGCCTCTACAATGTTGGGATCTTGCGTGGTCGTCCAATACTTGCATCCTCAGAGCTGCCTCTGCAAGAGAAAGTGACAACAAATAATGAGTGCATTTGAGCCCTATTTTTAGGACACTAGATTTTTTAATAGTGATTTTTAAATAATATAATATTATATTTAAGTGACTATTATTAATATTATGTAATTGTCACTTAAATTGATTATCGACCCCGCGATGTTGAATAGGATTATTCTTGTCTAACTACGCCAACAGACGTTGCGATATAAAAATGGCACCTGTCCCCCATCAGAAATGGGCCTGTCACATTGTACTGTAGCTGTGTTGCTCCTTGACGCTGCCGCATCACAAGCGGTTACGTTTTCTCTTCTCTTCTCTTCAATTCAATCCCAAGCTTTTTCCATCCCCACCCACTCCACTACTTACTAAGGTATATCGATCTTACCTAGCCTTCAGAAAAACCCATTTTTCTTTTTCTTTTTTGGTGAATAACTAATAATTATATAGACTATAATGTTTGATTTTGGTGATGAGTTGATAATTGATAGCTACAAAATCCCATGGATAATATGGATTCAGCTTCTTGTAACGATTCTGTTTATCATCCTTCTGTTCGGAATCAGCGTCTGCACTTCAGGCTCCGCGGCTTCCTCCGCCTCCACCAGCATCTCCGCTTCAACGTCAACGGGCCGCGCCGCCATTGCGCCACCACCACCCAATCTCAACAACCCCAGTTCTTCTCAAAGAGCCAAGGTCACTTATTTTATTACTTTCTTTTCATTCCTTTTTCGAATTTTTGCATTATAATTTTATTAGTTTGACTAGAAAACTGAAAAGGGAAATTCTTGAATCTATAGATAGGAATAATAGGAGGAGTAGAATTTTGTGGTAGAATCCAAACGGGGTATAAAGGTTTTAATTCTTGATTTTTATTTTCTGTCAATTTAATATTCGGCACATCGTTTTTACACTTTAGCACAAGGGGGTGATGCTTATAATGGGATAAAATCCATCGAATTCTGATACCTTGTCATCCCCAAGAAGCAAGTTGTTTTTCTACCCCTTGTGAAACTTTTAAAGGCACGTTTGATAAGCAGGCATGACGGATAAAATAAGATGTGCTATCTCATTTCTATCTATTTATCAATTCTTCCCAAATCGAGGCTTATTAAACTACAGCTGGTTGTTAGGCTTCCTTTGATGATATTATAAAGATGATAGAATTTTCTACTGGTAAAGATTCTTGAAAGCTTATCCAGTTGTCTCATTTTTTTGTTGTATTGCTGTCAGCACAGCTGATTTTTATTGTTAATTTAAAGATGCTTTGAGATTTTCACCCGGGAGAATCACAACCTTGACTCTGTACCAAATATGCATTCGAGTAGTCGACTGTCTTAAATTCACTTACCTTTCAAGAGACACAATTCAGTAAATATGTACTGTAACAAATCAGTTTCTTATCATCCAGGTAGAAGTATTCTATATTTGGAGATTTAAGCGGTACAAATAGTCGTTTTTCATTGGAAATTTGGGATTGTATGTGGCTAATTACACGGGTGATTGGCTACACTGGTTGCTGAATTTGGACTTATTAGCGCCTTCTAGGCATGTATTTTCCCTATTTGTGAATAATTATTTCTCAATGTCTCTATATTTGTGTTTTCATGGAACACAGTTGATATTGGTGCTCATATTCAGCTTCTAACAGTGTCTATTTGCTCAAGGTGCAATTGCGTAATATTTGTTTATTTTGTTATCTATTATCAGAATGTGTAATAAAAGATGGTAAAATGCACCTTCCTGCATGACAAAATGGGGTGCGTTTTATCTGAAGTGAAAATTTTGATAAATAAATAGGTTTATGATGTTCACTCCCCTAATCCATAGGGTCGATTTTCAGGGGTCATCATCTCTCTACCAAGACTTGTATATTTTAGAGAGAGCAAACTGGATAAGATGCCCACTATAAATGAGCTACTGTGATCAATTAGAATTTTTCACGAAAGATCCCTTTTCCGTTGCCATTGACTTTTGATGTTCTTGGGCTAGCATTAGAGATCGTATAATAATTAAAACGTCTACTCGATTAGCAAAGTGAACAGATTGGTAGCATCTAAGCAACGTGCTAATTTGATGGAGTTCTTGAATTATATCAAATTCTGTGGCTTAATTATTTCAATTTTCAATAGATTGAATCCAGTAAATGCACCTTCTTTAGGTACACATAAGATCAGATAACTTATTTTCAACTACTTGCATATAAATTCAACCGGGAATTATATTATGCATGATTAGTAAAAGCCAGTTTCATTTCTAGTATGTTATCTGCCTCTTCATTAGAAATTTGCCATATGATGGAAAGTGGGTAAACTTTTTGTAATTTCAGGAGGAGGAAATCCAACGAGTCGAGGGGAATGGAGAAGCAAGTGGAGGGATGATCATAGAAGATGACCAAGATCGAAATGAATCTTCGTTGAATGATTCTGTGCTTTTTAAGCATCCAACCCATCCTTGCCAATATCTTGAACTAGCTAAACAATCATTCCTCAAGTGTTTTGGCTTAGATACCAGCTCCAAGAGCCCAAGCAACGAAAAGCATAGGAAACAAGACTGACGTATGCTCTCTCTCTCTCTCTCATTTACTTAATTCAAACGAATCCCTGTTTCAAATGAGTAGAAAGAAGTCGTTCACGTTCATCTGAAAGCATGATCTTCGAACAATCCATTTAGCCAGACAAGGACACGAAGTAATATTACTCTTTCTTGCAGGAACATATTTGCTGTTGTCCACTTAAAATGATGATGAGAAGATGGAGAAGTACAAAATCCAGTTTTTAAACTCTCCAATCTGTAAATAGTGGATGTAACTGTAACCTTTGTGACTTTAACCATTGGCTCTTTTACATTTTACTGGACTCGATGATTTTTAGCTGACAGAGAGGTTCTTCTTCTATCCATTATATAGATTTACAGTGGGCAAACCCAATTCTTCAATTAACAATTCCTTGCGTGATAAGAAATCAACGTACTCAACAATGGAACCTTTCACCTTTAGATGAGTGGTATAAATAACTTATTCTAAATCTTGGCCTTTTTGCCAAATAAAGAAAAAGGCAAAAGTAAATTCATCAAAAGCCTAATAGTTGGACTATTGTTTTTATACACTCAGAACATGAAATTTTAAGCATTTTTTTCCCCTGTTCTTTGTTTGGTTGACATTGCCGCATAATCACACTTCATACTTTATAGAACATTGATTTTGAGACCTGGCTTTGAAAATAGAGAGACGTCTTCGGCGAAGTATAATGATTGTTGCCTTGTGCAAAAGATATTGTGGACCCCTCTCGCTGTTTCCATAGTCTACAATAAAGTGGGGTGTCTCCTCAAGGCAGGGATCCAGCGTTCGCTTGATTGTTGAGGTGGCTAGGGCTTGAACCAACCCTTGTCTAGCCTCCATCTTTATGAAAACCTCCTAGATTGGCTCTCTTTACCCTTGGGTTCATCTTTATGCCAACCTCCCAAGCAAAGAGAACCTCCCTAAAGTGGTCTGGTCCTCGGAGCTTCCATCTAGGTCGTAATGACGTGGCCTCTTACTCCTACATGGTGTTCTTGGTATCACGTGGTCGTCCATGCACACCGGGTAACTGTACATGTTCAAAAATAATTTCATCATGGAAAACCAAATTTATAAATGGAAATTTCTGTTACATAAATCAATAACCCTACCTTTTGAGAGATGTACGCCAACATAAAAAGAGGCGTGTAAAGATTTACGCACAACTCAAGCAAGAGAAAGGGTGTCGAAAAAGATTCTATTTCCATTTGCACCTCGAATATTTACAAAATAATGCCGTCATCCTTGGCTACAATATTCATACCCCAATATGAACGAACCCATAAGTTTCTTCATCATGTACGCCATACTCTAGTATCTACAGTAGTCTTATCTTTCCAAAAAGAGTGATGCTATTTATCATCATGATGATAGAATATCGATGATGTGGCAATCTATATGGAATAATGAGATTGAACAATTCAATTTTTATGAAAGAGTGGGAGTGGGAGAGGGAGAGGAGAGGAGAGGAGAGTGGAGGGAGATGTGTGGAATAATGGATTGCCACATCACCTATGTTTCATCATCATGATGATAAATAGCATTACTCTTACAAAAATTTAAATAACTAATAACATTTTTCCTTTCCCTTTTCCTTTTCCGCTTTGTCTCTTTCACAATCACTACTAGTTATATTTCCAAAAAACTAGCCAATTTCGGACCATCTAACCAAAAATTACCTGCAGTGAGAGACTTCATGGGGCATTTGCATCCTTCCTAACAACTTCTACAACTGTTGCATTGCAAAAGAAGCATCTTTGGCAATTGAGGAGGTGCCTCGATATACAACCATAGCAAGAAACATGGGAACATGGTACAAATTCAGCATTCACTTCACAAGCATAACATATGCAGCACATGCCATCATCAGCATCTGATTCTCCCTGACAAATTCTCTTCTGACCTTCTTGCAATTCTGCCTGACAGATCAACAGGCTTGAAAACTTTTCTAGTTGTGCTAATTTCCCAAGATGATCATCCCCTCTGAAGGAGCCTGCCTGGCAAATTGATGAAGAAGATTATGAGTAATAAATTGGCAAGTCCCACGTACAGAAGTTAAGAAAACAGACAAGTCATCATTTAGAATGTTCAATAAAAAGATTTAATGTTTTTTTCGCAGAAAACAAGTGGACATCTCAACCAAAACCTGCCAAACAAGCGTGTTTTAGCTGACATCACTGTGGTTACTGCTTACACCTCTGCTGTTCTAATTTAAAAATATGCCAATAGAATTGGTCATGCTAAAGAGTATACTGTTACTTTATCTGGCAATTATGTGCCCTTAAGCAGACACTTCAATCGTGTGAGCACTGGGACACCACTTCTCTGACAATGACAAGCAAGGTACGCACAGTTCAAACTTACTTCACCAATCAGGCATGGATATCTGAATATAATGTAAAAAGTTGAAAAATGGAACATATCAAAATTTAAAACTAATCAAGTGCTGTCTAGTAACGAAAGGGAAAAAAATCTACACATATATAGCTACTACTTGAGGTAAACTTGTTTCCAGTTTTTACTCTACACGGCGAAGACAACAAATGGCTTGTCCTCAAAAGTCTGGCATGGGGGAAATTTTTAACCTCTAGCAGTGATCCTAGGAGTGCCAAAAACAAAATAACTATAACAATTGCATAGAGATCCCAAGGAAACTGTCTGGTCCCTTTTGGTATGTGGATATGGACAAAAAGAAAATGGAAAGGAAAAAGAAAAGAACATTAAAACTAAAGCTTTCATAAATTTTCAAAAACTATGTAAAGTGGCAAGAAATACACGTGAAAGCAAAGAAGACATGGAGAATTCCTTCCCATTATTCACCTAGTTATCATTTCTCTCCAATCTTAGATGACGACAAAGGACACAATGATTACCCAAGCATTCTCATTTTCTTTCCCATGTTCCAAGTTCTGAACGTTGGAATGAAAATGACTGTATTGTTAAATATGTCTAAAAGCTGAATAAAACCAAAAATCATCAGGGAGCTAATACGAACCCAATCGTACTCGAGGAGATACTGAAATCCACAGAGAATGGTATCAGCACAGTCCATACTAGCAAATATTGCAACAATATCATTCTGCTCTCCACAGCCTCTCTCTCTACTAGCATCCAACAAATTCAGTACAATGCCAGCCAGAGGTGCTAAAATCATGCCTCTGTTAACTTTCTCAGTAAATTGACCAGGACGTCTAAGTGTTCTGCAAAGTAAGATGCAATTGGATGAGTGCAGGAGTAAAAATGGAACTCAGCAGCAAATATATTTTACAATTTTAAAACTGGAGCCTAAATAAATACACGTATAACAGTAAACATATCTACAACATGTTGAGAACACAGAAAGACAATGGAAACTCAGTAGCAATGGAAGAACTTTATGTAAATGACAGACAGGTTATAACATAGGAGGAGAACCTATTATTATCTTTATTATCTTTATTGAGTACCATCCACAAAGAGCAATAAAAAGGAACAAAAAATTTCCTCTTGCTATTCTTTATGGAAAAGGAAAGAAATAACATCATTTTACATAAACTGATGCCATTTTATAGTGACAGGTATCCTTTACTAATGATCAAATAATCTGTTGCTTGTCCAACGGTATAAAAAGTCTACACGGTTGCAATGGATTAACAAACTAAAACAGATATAAATGTAGCAACTGGGATCTTCATTCTAGAAAGAAACAAAATGCATTATACGTCATACAGTAACTTACAGGTCAAATAACTCTGGATCAGCAGCAGAAATTAAATGGTTCAGTATAAAGACAATCAATTCTGTCAGCCTACGCAAGTTTGTATCCGTTCCCAACAGAAAAGCTTGAGATATCTCACGAGTACAAAACTCTAATACCCTTGCAAGATTGCAGGAGAGGTCAAATATAACACTACATTTCCTCTGCTGGAAGTCCATCACCTGAAATAATGCATTCATTTAAAATTCGCACGACGTGGAAAGAAAAGAAAGCAAAATACCACAAAGACAAGTGAATTTACCTTGTAAGTTTCTTGCATTTCACGAATTGAAACAGAAAACTCAGTCATCGCCCAGCTGAGTGTGTTAAATAAGCGATTGAGAAAAGCTGAGAATAATTCTTCATTGCTGATGCAAGCTTCCCGCAACAATTTCTTTTAAAATAGGAACACAGCACCAGAAACAAATTTAATACAAGTAAAATCTAATTCTAGAAGCAAAAAAGAATATGATGAAGTGTCGCAGCAACTAAAAAAATTGTCACGACCTGAAATATGACTGATGAGGATGATGACTCTCCACGCTTTGCAAAACCATAGCCAGAACCCTTGCATAACCTCAGAAGTATATTGGTCACAGGGATCCATGATCTATTATCAAATGCTGCCAATAAAGCTTTTGGCATCCTTTTGGTTGCAGCTTCATTGCACTCAAAAGCAGATAAAAATTCCTTGTACTGTACCACGACGGAAATTGACTGGAGAAGAAGATCCCTCAGTTCAGCGCTAGATATCCTCGGATCATTGAAGTGGGTAACGACAAAAGTAACCTGATAAAGAAAACATAAACAAAAATCATCAAAGTATCTAAAAGTGGATATCCTAGAATGGAGAGTAGAGTCTTGTTCCAAAGGCTTGAATTATAGGGCTAAATATAAGTGTAGAAAACAAATGTCAACAGAAACATTTCAGCATCTTGCATAAAGAGACTTTTGAACAAGTATTTGATTACACTTCATAATTAGTAGCTATTAGTTCTCCCAGTTTGCAAGTTCAGCGAACTAGTAAACAGATAAACTGTTAACACAGCTCAACTCCATAATCATATCTTATCTTTTGTCTGTTTCCAAAGTAAGAAGTCCCTTCGACTTATATAACAATAACATACAGGAAAAACAGAAGTTAATAAACGTACAAATGACGTAAGTCCTTGCTTAATGAACATTGCAGCAGGGACAAATGGAGGGTCACTCTTACGAAGAACATGAAAGCAGTCAACCTGTCAGAAGTGAAGGAAATAAATTAGGTAAATATTGGGAAGAAAACTAATAAGTTCAGCAAAAATATGCAATTGTAAATTCCATAAATCGAAACAATGGATCAAGGTATTGTATAGTTCAATTATATGATTGCATTGATGACATAAATTCTCTTCCAAAAAAAAATAAAAATTCAAACTTGGATCTACATGCCACAAAATCATTATCTGGTATCTGCCATTGATTGTATAAATGCTTGAACAAATCTCCAAAGACAAAAAGGGTAAGCAAAAACCAAAAAAAAAAAAGTCTCTTTGTAACACTTCTAGCAAGATATGGTGAAAAACTATTAAGAAAAAAGAGACTGAATAAAATACAAGCAACAAGGAGACATCACTATGCTATTAGACATGAGAAATATACAATACCACGGTTTCCAAATAATATTCAGGAACATAGATGAAGATAGAATCCACTTTGCTAAGGGAAAGAAGCAATTGAACTATCCACATGCATGCTGCGTACATTCCCCTCTGCTTCCAATAAGAGAAAAGAGATACACGATACCTGAAAAATAAGATAAGGATTATAAAATAATAAGTAGTAAAGGTACACAATGCTTCCTGAAGTTTACTCTTGATAACTAGCTCTAGAAAAGCACTTAACAAATGCCTAAATTAAATAACATTAATTGGGATCAAGAACATAAAATTTAACATCAAGAATAATTATTTGCCGCTGGAGCTTTCTATTGATGCATCTCAATCATATGGGAACAGCTAAATCAGTACTTAATCAGAACATTGTTCCATTTGGAAGATTTAAGAGCAAGTTAATAAAGCATTACAGAATACTTTGATATGCTGCCTACTCCATGCAGTACACGTGACATGCATAATTTTTCTAGAAGCCCATCATGCATGTTAATTGCATCATAGAGGAAACACCATTAGAATTGCTCTCTGCTAGATACCATGTTTGAGAAAGAAATTCCAGAAAAGTCTCAGGCAACTAAAATAGAAGGAACACAGAATGAAAGATGAGATTATAGTCAAAAATATGTACTTATATAGGCACATATATGGAGACGACATTTGTTTTCTAGCAATAATTAGAGAATGTTTTGGAATTGTTTGAAGATAATATCAAATCAATATTATCCTGATTTGATATTATCTTAATTTGATTTTCATATCTACCTTAA